AGTTCCTTTGCTGCCACCCTGCTTCCTGCCAGTCCCCAGGTGAACAAGCTTATCCTGTGGATAAGAAGGGRATTTGTATTGGAACCTACAGTGAAACCACTGTCAGCCAAATGGTGGATTGTGCAGGTGAGGTTGGAGCTGGATTCCTGGGTTACTGGCTCTACCACCTCATTATGGATCAAGACTAACAAGAAAGGAGTTTGTTTTCTGGAACCTGCTTTGGATGCAGTTCAGACTCAGGAGAATCAGGTCATTATAAACTTTAAATTGCTGAACTGCTCGAGCAGAAAAAGATTAAATTGCAGCTGCTGCAGCCTTGGTCTCTACCTGGCAGTGCTCACATAGGAKGAGAAGTCTTTTTCCATCACACAGTATCTAAAGTAGAACTCGGGTTTCTCTGCTTTGTTTGATTCTAGGGAAAATAAAGTGCTTGAGTGTGTAGCTGTGATAGACATCTGAGCGAGCCTCGAGCCTCGCTGCTGACTCCTAATGACCCAGTTTCTGGGGAAAAAGACTTGCTAATGGGGAAGGACATTGATGAAAGAGGCYTGCTGGTCATTCATCGCCCGTGGCAACCAGGCTACCTCTGGGCAGGATCCAAAGATAAGGAGCTGGCCAGGAGACAATGGCCACGAAGGCAGGGGGAGAGGTAGAGCCACCTCTCAGAAAGGAGAGGAGAGGCTCTTCAGTGCTACAGACTCAAGGAGATTTAGGAAGCATTCAGTTCCTGAGAGCAGCATGTTTTGGGATAGCTCCTCTGTGAATTCAGATATCTGCTGTCTGCCCTGCTAATTTACATAATTCACTTCTGCTTACCTGGTTACATTGAGGCCTGTATGTGATTTCTGTCCCAAGCCATGTGGAGCTTTGGTTGCACTTGCAGAGTTCATTCTAGACTTGGTAAAAAGAGTTGTGACAATGAATGGGGCAAAAATTGTTGGGTTCTTCAGCCTCCTGTGCAGTTTTTTAGKATRTGCCCAGYACCCTTATGAGTCGGATCCCTTMYTYCACGTGGAAAAAGCTCTGCCTTACSAGGAGAAATGGAGAATCCTGTTCTCTCTGGCGTGTGCTCAGCTCGTGTTTTTGCTGAGTAACGGGAGGGAGGGGGGCGGAGGAAGGCGGTGCCTGAGCTTTTCATTGAGAAATGGATGCGCTTCATTCTTCCCGCAGATCTGATGCTGCCAGGAGTTGTGGTGCCACCTTCTGGCCTCCCTCGAGTGCAGCGRGGCACTCTCTGTGCTGTCACCCTCCTGGGAAACAGGTACAGAGCATTCTTCAGTGTCACCACAGCACCGTGTGTTTGTGTTGTCCTGCTCCAACATTCCCTTCTGTCCTCAGAGCTCCTGTGGCAGTTGGAGTTGCTGTGATGTCCACGGAGGARATGCTGGCTGCTGGAATGAAAGGGAAGGGCTTGGCTGTGCTGCAYACTCACCTGGATCACCTCTGGTGGGTAATTTGCCTTTGGTAAAATGTGCAACAAGTCTCATATTTATACTGGAATCCAAATCTGTGCCCCAGCAGGATTAATCTGTCAGGCCAGTTTACTGAATTATTTGGGTACAGCCTAGATAGGACCATTATTCAGAATTTAAGGAGGAAGATGAGTTTAAAGTAAATTTTATAGTTTAGAGATTGCAGAGAAAGACCCGTGCAGCCACCAGTGCCTTTTTTCAGGGTGACATTTGTCCCCTGTCCTGTGGTTTCAAAGCAGCAAAAGGAAAGCTGTGTTCTGCTTTTTCTTCCTTTTGTAGGGAATATGGTGACAAATCTTATCCTCCTACCTTAGCTCCCTTGGTAACGGATTCTGCTGCAAAGGAGAGCGCTGGAGATGAGGAAGAGCTGGAGGGGAAGGAGYCTGTCACCAACTGCTCCCCTGAGCCAGAGCAGCACCTGGACATCAGGGATTTGAGCCTGAAGGACAGAGACAGTTGTGCAGAACTGCTGGGAAAGGAGGAATCCCACGAGAACAGAGCTGCAGAACCAGCTGAGGATGCCAGCACAGAGGATGCTGASGACAGTAGGACTCCACAAGGTATTTTGGGATACCAGTAAAACCAAACCATGTCCCTCTGGTTTGCTGAAGCCCACAGATAACTCTGCCTCCCTGTCCTTTTTTTTTTCCCTGCAGAGCAAATGGATGCATTATTCAATCAGTGCTTTTTCCATGCCTTAAAATGCAAAGTAAAGAAGTCAGATCTCCCTCTGCTCACCAGCACATTTCTAGGCAGCCACATGTTCTCCTGCTGGTACGTGGGAAGGAGGTGGAACTGGGATTTGCATGTTGGGATTTGGTCTTTAAAACATGGAGATTGAGTGGGATATTTAGGAAGAAGTTGTTGACTAAAAAGTAAAATTCAGTTTTTATCTGAAGCTATCTGTACTCATTTCTGACATCAAATACTTTGATCAAATACAATCATTATATTAAATACTTGGATGTAAGGATTGTCCAGACCTGGATTTGCACTTGGTACCAGCTTGAGTTGGCTGACATTTGTTTCAGCATAGTTTGGGCACCTCAATGGCTGCTTGCCTGCCCACSAGAACATCAGCACCAGTTTCACTCATCATATTCTATTTATTAGCTTCTTTGAAGTAAATCTTTCTCTGTGTGATTTGTATTCCCACTGTTAAGAAACTTCTAGCATGAGTAGCAAGATTTGAGAAGAAATGAAGGGTGACTTTTAACTAAAGAACTTTTAAAAAATCCATTTATAGCCCTGCTGGAAAACAACTGGACATAAAGAAATCAAGCTATAAGAAGGTGAGATTTTTCTGTTGGTTTTGGTGGTGKTTTTTTTTTGCATTAAATTTAAWAAGAAACAGGAGAGAAAAAGTTTGAAACACAGGAGCAGGAATTTAAAGTGCTTGACTCCACATTTGTGATTGTTGCTTCCTTCAGTTCTCTAAGTTCCTGCAATGCATGCAGCACCAGAAGATCTTACAAGTGAAGGAGCTGCACAAAGGTGTGGAGAGCATTGTGGAAGTGGACTGGAAACACCCAGAGTATGTAGAATATCACAATCTTTAAAATAGYTTTGAGTCTCTGAAAGAAGGGAGTGGATTCTGCTGCTTCCAGCCTCATTTCCATCCCTTTTACTCACACCAAACAATTCTTGTTGCAGCATTAAAGCATTTGCAGTGCCTGAGGGACTTTCTTCGGCCTGTGCTGCCCAAGTCAGCAAGAGTGAAGACAGAGAACAAGTGTACCATGCTCCTGAAATCATTCCACTTTATGGGGTGTCCACAAAAATGATCCCACTCTTTCAGGAATCTGGACACAGGTAAAGCACAAAAAAAAAAATGGAGAGACCAACAAAACTGCAGTTGGGGTTTCTCTCTTAGTGCCAGAACCTAAATTCTCTTTCTCTTCAGAAAAGGCAGTGTCCTCTCAAGCAGTGAAGTGAGAAACATCATCATTAACTATGTGAAGAGTAATGAGTTGGTTGATGAAACAAACAAAAAGTAAGTACAGCTGGGAATTTTTCTATCCTGCTTCCTTCCACAGCAGAGGCTGAAATTAGAGGAAAAAAAGTGACCTGGTTTGCTCCTTCTGTGTGCTTTTGTTTTGTAGCTTTGTAAAGGTGAATGCCATTCTGTGTGACTGCCTGTTGGATAAATCAGAGCAGGATGAGATCTCACACCTTAAATGGGATGAACTCTTGAGCAGGTGATTGTTCTCTCMGTGTCCCTTCCCAGAATTACAGAGATTTATTGCCTGCAGCTCAAAGCCCCATGGTGGGAGCTGTCTGATTTGTAATTTCCTGCAGATAAATGGGAACAAGATGAGATCCCTTAAGTGGGACAGCCTTTTGAGCAGGTGGTTGTTTTCTCAGTGTCATTTCCAGAGTGACACAGATTTGTTGCATTGTTCAGGTGCCTTGAACGACTGCAGCCCTTGCACCAGGTGACATTTTCTGGCCAAGAACCCGTGGTGAGGAAAGGAAACATTGAGCCCATCGACATCACCATAGCACAGAGATCATCCAACAAGAAGGTAAAAAAAATAGAAATAAAACAAGTGGGGTTGAGCAGCTGAGATGCCAGGTTTTGAGGGCAGCTTTGGCAGTCATTAAACCCTCAGCACTGATATTTGCAATCATTATGAACCCCCATAGGTGACAATTATCAAGAACCTTGAGCTGTATGGTCTGGACCCACAGTGTGTGGCCAACRCTCTCCAACAGAAGGTCCAAGCCAGTGCCACCATCACCCCAGCACCAGGAGCAAARGACAGAGTCCAGGTCCAGATCCAAGGCAACCAAATCCATCATCTGGCCAAAATGCTGCTCGGTAAGAGAATTCTGGAGCTGTTGACAGCAAAATGGAGATTTTAATTCTAATTTAATTCTTCCTTAGCTGATGTGAGCTCTTGGTTGTGTTGCAGAAGAGTATCAGCTACCTCGGAAATACATCCAAGGCCTGGAGAAGGCTCCAAAGCTTGGCCGGAAGAAATAGGAGAGAAAGGATTGCTCAGATCTCATTATTTACAGARGTGTTTTCTGCCAGCAAATCAAGGATCATGTACAGGCCCTGTTCATTCCTAAATGACTCCTGGATGTTTACAAGGTCTGGAACTCACCCAAATAATAATAATATTGCTCCAGGTGTTCATTTTTCATAAAAATAAACAGCTGAATAAACCCCCTGGAGTTAATATTTTGTGATATTTTCTGGAAGTTGATATTGAAGTATTGGATGCTACAGTGGCTTTTGGGGACTTTAAAATTCTTGCTTTGCATCAAGGGTATGTAATAAACTTCACTGAAATGTGAGAAAAATACATTCCAGTGCAACATCCTGAGACAACCCAGTGTGTTTTGCCATAGACTCTGTTTGTCAGAAGTAAAACCCACTTGGGTTTAGATTTTATCCTTTGAAACATTTCCAGGGATTGAAATCAGACATTTCAGCACTGAGAATTAACTATATTAGCTAGACTTTGGTAGTTTATATTATTTTTATATATATAAATACATTTTAATGTATGACAGGAGCTGTAATTTATCACAGGTAACAGTTCTCTCTCYCCCAGCTGAAATATTAAGATTAATGGAACACTTTGGTCGGGTTTTCACAGGGGTGAGATGTTCTTTAGCTCTTCAACARTAGAGTAGGAAATTTAAATTCATTTCTATGTAGGATTCCTGTATTTCCCTTTAGACTTAATCCATGGAAGTTCCACAGAAGGGCACCAGGAAAAGAAACTCAAGAGATTTCAATTACTGACAGTTTTATTATCATTGTCTCTTACATTGTCTGCTTATGAACAAATAGTTCCAAACCTTCAAAAAAAGCTGAGAGTGAGACATTTTGTAAAAATGCCATAGAATTACTGGGGAGTAGTAAAAATAAATTACAGCATTGCAAAAATGCATTTCACTTTGCCATAGAAGCTCTACTATTCCATCCTATACACATTATTTTACAGGTTTTACAGTAGCCATGAAAAATAAAACTCACACGACCTAGGCGAGACAATTGCTAACCAAAGGCACTGCCAACAGGATTTTGCGCTTAAAGGAGGGGCAAATACTTCTAGAAACAGCTCAACTGACCCATGAGGATTCGAGTTTCRACACCCACCAACTCTTCAAATGCCCCTCGTGTTGAAAAAATGAAAAGAAAGAGCCCTCCTGGGGGTAGGAGGTTTTCAGCAGCATCCACAGTGATTGCATACGAAGCCATGCCTTCTACAAACTGTCAAAGACATGCTGGGGGCTGGGAAGGGAGAGGGGACCTCACCAAAACTCACCAAAAAAAAAAAACCAAAAAAAAGGAAACCTGCACAGCTCTCAGCCAGAAAGAAAAGGGATTTCAAACCAAGCGTGTGGCTCTTCCCTCTCAGAGCCACGGGCGGTTTTTACAGCGTTCTTGCCCGCGGTGGAACAGAAGTATTTATACGGTGCTGTCAAGGCTCAAAGCACCAGATAAATGGGATTTAAATGACTTCACCAGTGACCAGTGAAGCACTGAATCTGCTTGTAAGCGGCCAAACAGCCCCAGAGCATGAGAATTGCTGCTCTGTGGCCGCCAGCGCGTTGTTAAAGGTCRTTGGGTGTCGAGTACAGTACAGCAAACCCTCGCCGCTGACCAGAGCAGGAGCTGAGCTTGGCAGAAAAGTGCCTTTCACACAAACCGAGGCCTTGAAGTGATGCAGTTACTCTCACGTGCTCTRGAAACAAACATACTCAAAATCTGGAAAAAAAAAGATCCCAAGCAGTCACCTGCAAGAAAGAAACAAAACAGCTCCTCATCCCTCCACGAACACAGCGGCCTCGTCACACCAGTACTGGGGGCACTGGGGGACAGCAGTGACAAGGCCTCCTCACACTTTCTTTCTTAGCCCAAATGCAAAGTTTTCACACTTAAGGGAAAAAAAAAGGCACTGAGGTAAATTTTAGACTCCTCCACGTTCCCCAAGAAGCTGCCGCCTCCCCCTCCCGCTGGATGCAGGTGGGATCACAGCAGCCACAGTGAGCTCGAAGGGACAATCGCTGATCAAATCCACACCGATCCCTTTCCCTGCTCCATCCCAGTCCAGCATCACCTTTCCCCAGTCCCTGCACTCTGCTGTGCTGTAAACAGAGGGGAGGCTGGCCCTGGCTGTGTGCAGCGTGCTCGGTTTGAAGCACTGAGGGTAAACACGGGGCCCATCCTCTCCCCCAGCCCRGCAGCGATCCCTGCACAGCACCATGGAGCTCGAGGCCTTTTCTGAGGGATGCTCAGCGTGGTGGGAGCCCTGAGAGGCAGAGAGAGACTTTGCTGTCCTCTCCGAGCTGCACGGAGAGAGCAAATGCGGGGAAGCTTCCTGGACGTGCAGGAGAGCACCAATTGAGTGTGGGGGTGATGGGATGGGGCACAGGGATGGGGTGACAGAGGGGAGCAGGAGGAAGCGCAGGTGAGGGGAGCAGAAAGCACCCAGGAATAAGAATTCCCTCACTTGGGGCCACCTCCACACCGAGCCCTGGCTGGGACTCCTCTCCCTCGGGGCCAGACAATCTCACAGCTCAAAATCTGCTTTGTGAAGGGGTTTTGAGCTTTCCTGGGCTGGTCTGATGGACAAATATTGCTGAATATTCCATCCTGAACCCTCAGCCTGTGCCCCAACCATCATCTTTACCATTTTCAAACAGAATTTCTGAAAACATAGGTCCCGATTCCTACAGAGTAGAAAACTGGTAAAACACTGGTTAACTCAGCTAAGCATCAGGATATTCACTGTTRTCCAGCTCTTTTCAAAATCAGAAGTCAAACAGAACCAAAATGAGTGATTTTCCTGCGAATTACCATTACCAAGTTGCAATAACAATTACTACCAGACTGCTGGGGTGTTGCAGCTGCCTTGGTGTCATAATCTGACATTTCCCTGGCTACCTGAGCCCTGAACGAGTCCATCCAGCGCCGGCTAAAGCTGCAACACCCACGTGGGTTGGCGCAACAACCTCCTCCCCTTTTCCTGTCGTGCTCTCCTTGTGAAACCACAACTGGGCCACGAGGGCACCGTGGGCTGCAGCAGCTCCAAACAGGAACCAGCAGCTCGCTGGGAGGAGTTTCAGCCAGCAGATGGGTGCTGTTGGGTGTCACACCGAGAATTTTCCAGGGAGGCTCTGCGGTGGGTGGCACAGCTGGAAAGCCGACCAGCAGCTGGGTTTGGTTTTGCTGAAGCTGTTTTAAAAACAGGATTCCTGTTCTTGGACTGGCTCTGGTCCTGGGAGAAGAGGTTTCAGAAGAAGAAAATGCCACAGGGTGTTTTTAGGGGTGCAGGGAGCCAGTCCTTACAGAAGAGGGARGAGGGGGAATGACTACTAAGGTGTCCTGAGAAGTCTTTTCATGTAAAAACAGTCTCTAGCTTAGTCTGGTGCCCAGTGCRCCCCAAAGGTTATCCAGGTTTGCTCCTGGCTTCTTTCAAGGTTTGTTGCAGTCTCTGTTTGAACCTCTCGTACTTCCTGTGCACTTGCTGGATTTTGTCCTTCTCTTCCTTGTCCAGGATCATCAGGAAGTTCTGCAGCTCCGGRATGGAGAACGCGTCCCACTGCAAAACCAGCAGAAACGGGCAAAGTGAGCACACACCGTGTGGGGTTTGGGGCTTTTTATCTCTGAATCTGTGAGCAAGAGCAATAAAATGCATTTTAAAGTATCTGATCCCCAGGGATTTTGATCTCATGTGGTGAGAGAGATGGGATAAGGGGGTACAACACAAAGGACCACCCCAATCCTCCCACCCCACAGGGGCAGAACCTCACAGGATACAACAGCTCCCAGCACTTGCTTTATTATGGTGTGGAGCAAGATTTCAACCAAACCTGGCTGKGAATTTATTACCTGAGTGTCCCTGGCTTTTACTTAAATTAGTGGATTATTTAAAACAGCATTCAGCTAATCTAATTAGCGAGGATTAACCCTGGCGTGGCCCTGCTGGGTTCCATAAACAGATTACGGGGTGGCCATCAAAACTGGCCTCAGCATTTTCACAGCTCCGGCTGGAATTGTTTTAAAAATTCAGATCCTTTAAAAGACCAACAGAGGGGAAAGAGCCCCTTTTTGTGCTGCCTCTGCCACACATCTCCCAGCTCTGCCACGTGCTCCACACCTTTAACTTTATATGAAAAACGAGATAAAGAGTCACCAAATACCTCGACTTCCCCTGTTTCGTTTTCCTTGAGCACAAAACTCAGCACGTCCGTGTCAGGGCCCGCCAGCAGCCGCAGGTACAGGGGGAACTCGGTGAGAGGGAGCTTCTGGAAGAGCACTGCAAGGGGACAGGAGACAGCCACGGTGAGATCAGGGCTGCCAGGGCAGAGGGAAGCTCAGGAGGCAGCTGGAGCATGGAAAAGGATGCTCAGGATCRAAGTGGAAGGGGTTGAGTCTCTCTCACAGCTTCTGTAAGGTCTCAGGTGGCTTCACCTCCTTCTGAAACCATAATTCCGTGTTAACTGAAGCAGCATCACCTCCTGTGGAGGTCTGGATTCACCTGGATTTAAACTTTGCCTCCTGACACCCCAGTGAGCCCCACAGGACACCAGAAAGAACCCAAACTCAGGGCCTGAACTCACCTTGCCCATCTTTCCTCATCTCCTTGAAAAGTGCAAACTTCTGGGGATTATCCACCACCATGAACTTCTTGAGGAGCCCCTGGATCACCTCGCTCACCGTGGTGGTGCTGCTGATGTGGAGCTGCTTGATGGCGTCCAGGGGCAGGTAGAAGGAGGTTCTTTTGTCCGTCATCTCGGCCAGGTTGACCTCCTTGAGGGCATCGTAGATGGATTGGGGCCGGATGCCAGCGGGCACCGTCACAGGACGCCGCAGCTTCAGGTGCACCTTGATGAACCCCGTGTACGTCCCATCGTCGTTCTGCAGCAAAACACACGGGGTCAGGCTCCAGAGAGCTTCTCCAATCCTTTTTCCACCATGAGAGGCTGGTCTGCAGCTAGGGGTGACAGCAGGACCTGCCCCCCTCCCCGGGAGTTCCTTTCAGGTCTAAAATACCCCGTAATTTCGGGACAGTCACTACTGATTTTCTCTCGGCAGTGACTCATCCCTTCCCTGTGTCTGTGGGATCTTGTTTGGCTTCAAACCCATCCTGCTATGAGGCAGTTATGGAAATTCCATTACATGGAATTTGTAGTTGCATTTAATATGAATTTGGAACCCCTGGTTCAGCAGCATCTCCCGACCTTATTCCTTACATTTTATKCCCCATTTAAGAGATTCTCACATCTCCCTTGCATTGAAATCACCATTGGACATTGGCTGATGCCACCAGAGGTTCTCTCATTCCACCCYCAAAATTGGAGGAATCAGGAGAAAATCCTGGTTCTGCACAACCCAYCCAGGATGACTCAAACCAGCCCAGTACGCACCAGTTTCATCAGCAGGCAGTTGGTGACCTTTGCGTTGTACTTTTCAATCTTCTGCTTGATCTCCTGGACGGTCGGGGGCTCGGGTTTTTCCTCCTCGACTGTTTGTGCCACATTCTGCAATCAGAAGAGCYGGGCTTGAGCTGCTTTCTGTGTTGGGTAACACCCCATCTGTTCAGCCCTGCTTTTTCCTGGGAAAGCAGGAACGGATCCTGCGCACAGCCCRRGCTGGTGACGCAGTTGGGGACGGTYCCTGCAGCCAGGAATGCRCAGAKTGTCACATCCCAACCCCAAAACACCTCTGCACACCGGTGACAGGAGGTGGACAGCCACACAAAACTCACCAACTGGTGGCACAGAGCAGTTGAACATCCCAGTACAAACCAGGGCAAAAAATCCAGCCTTTAAACCCACTTTGAAAGCAAAGCCACCAGTGAGCATTTATTGACATAAATAAAGTGGAGAAAAAATCCCGTCCTGTTTCTGACATTCCCAGCTCTAACTCCCCAAAACTCAAACAGCTTCCAGAGGGTTCACCCAGGCAGAACCTGAGTTTAAATCTCTCAGTGCTCTTGTCCAAAGCTTGGAAATGATAGCTGGGAGCAATAAAAGCACACGAGCATCAGGCTGGCTGTGACTAATAATAAACCAGGCACTGCAGGGCCAGGCTGAGCATCCCAGAGCATGTCAGAAACTGCTCGGTGTCTGCCTGCGTGGGCTCACCCAGAGGGGGACAGGAGCTGCTGCTCACCCAAATTTTGGAGGATTTTCCTCCAAAACCAACAGCTCTGACCTGTAGGTGGGCTCTGCCTGGAGGGCACCCGTGGAAATGTCACTGATGAATAATCACAGATGGTTAAGGTTGGAAAAGATATCTGAGATGGAGTCCAGCTGTTAACACAGCACCATAAAACCACGTCCCCAAGGGTCACATCCACAGGCCTTTGGAAGCCTTCCAGGGCTGGTGATCCCAACACTTCCCTGGGCAGCCTGAGAACCCTTCCATAAAGAAATGAATTCTTTTCATTATCCAATCTAAATCTCCCCTGGCTCCCCTCCAGCCAGGAGGGCAGCTCTGCCTGCTTTATCTGCACCATCTGCAGCAAACAAGCCTGCGTGMGTGTTGGGCAATGCTCAGCGGGCTGGATCTCCTGCACGGGGCTCTGCTGCCACCCCATAACTCACCCCCTTCCCTGGAAACTCACCCCCTTCCCCCTTCCAGAGCCTGAACTCTGCCAGCACAGCACAGCACTCCCAGATTTTACGTGGGCTGGCTGGCATTAGCAGGGAGCAGGAAGCGTGGAGGGATGTGCCATCAAGGCTGGGAARGCTCAGAATGAAAACTGTAACCTCTGAGAAGGGGGAAAAAAAKRGARAAAAAGGCAGCTTGGGGAGGAAAGCTTGTCTCATCCCAGACAGCCCCGAAGCACACGCGACAAGGATGCAGCAAACTGTAAATAAGCCAATATTGCCCAAGGCTGCTCACGGTATTTCTTTCAGGAGGAGATTCAAGCAGAGGACAAAGTGAAATCCTGGTTGCAATCTGGYAAGGCAGCTGCAGTGCTGGGGCTTGGGAACCCTGAATTCATTCAAGCAGTTCCCAAGGGATGGGTCACGATTTCACCATTTCCAC